ACGCCTGGCCTCAAAAATTCTTTTGGGAAGAAAATCTTGTTAAAACAGAGGGTTAAAAACATGCCTTGAAATCATTTTTTTATACATCATGCATAGTTTGTGAACTTTTTTAGGGGTACTGGTGTAGATTATGAGATGGCTAAGCAACCCTTGCCATCTCTTGGTGCTGCCCTGGCCAGGTTTGGGAGAGGATAAGATGTTTTAGTTAATCATATGAAAAAGCATCTCTCTCTGAACAAGGAAAGAGCTGACAGCTGTGACTGAGGAGATGGTCAGAAAGGTTGTAGCTGAGGAAAATTTGGCATTTAGATTTTTCATGGGAAACAGAACACTGTAAGTCAGACTGTGTCCCTGTCGGCTTCAAAACAGTAGAACAGGGCAGAATCCCACATATTCACCTTTACTGTTTTGTACTTTGGGGCATTTTTAAAATTAAGCTCATTGGTGCATTTTAGGTATACATAGTGTTCACGCTCCTCATAGGGAGTTTGTACCTGTCCGTGATTTATCTTAGTTCCTCTTTTTCCCCCATTCCCCATTCCCCTCCTTATTTCCCCATTCCCCTCCCCTCCCTTCAGTCCCTCTTCCCCTCCTTATTTACAAAGCTTTGTTTTCATTTATACTTTTTTTCTAATTTTTTCTTTTCTCTTCCTTCCTTTTACCTTCCCCACTCCCTAATTCTCCTTTCCTCTTGAAAATTTTTTTCTTATTTTACACTATCTGTTGTATATTTTGGTTCTTTTAAAAAAATTCATTAAGGGCAGGGGATATAGCTCAGTGGCACAAGCGCCTGCTTGGCAAGTGCAAGGTCCTGAGTTCGATTCCTAGTACCAAAAAAATTCACTAAGTTCATTGTTACATTTTAGATTTTCTTCATTTTTCCATCTTATTAGAGCAAAGGTTCTGGAAGCAGGCATTGTGCATTTTTAGGTGCTAATCATGCGTCACTGAAAGGTTAAGAAATATATCACTAAGAGTAAAAGGGTAAAAAAAAAAGGCTAATATTAGCCCAGTATACTGTGAAAGTTCTGGAGAACTTTCATGAATTATTTCTAATTACATTATTTCTTTTTTAATTAAAATTTGTATTTTTATTGATGCATATTTGCAGTGCACATTGATTACATCCCTCATGAGTTGGCGCATGCACATAATATACCTGAATTTGTTTATCCCTTCTCTGCCCTCCATCTCTTGGTTCCCTTCCCTTTTGCAAAAGATGCTGGGGATTCCCAGCAGTTGGGAGGCTGAGGCAGGAGAATCACTGTGAGTTGGAGGTCAGCTTGGGCTACAAAGTGCATTCTAGGCCAGCCTGAACTGCATAGTGAGACCCTGTCTCAAAGAGACCAAATATATATATATATAAAAGATGCTGGGAATGTAGCCCAGTGAGTAAGTGCTTGCCCTTAGCAAAAGATCTAGCTCCTATTTCCTATTATCTATCTTTTATTTTACCCTTTACTTATACTTTGGGTTTCTCATATAAGAGAAACCAGGTAATATTTAAGCATGTGTGTCTGATTTTCTTTACTTAGCATTATGGTCTCAAGGGCGTCCATTTTCCTACAAATGACTCAGGTTTACTACTTTATGACAGAGTAGTTCTCCTTTATGTATAAATATCACACTTTCTCCTTTCCTCTGTGGAAGGACATCTAGGCCACCTCCAAGATTTAGCTGTTGTGAGTTGTGCTGCTATAAACATGGGAGTGCATTTACCACTGTAATATGATGTCCTTAACTCTTTGGGAAAGAGATTTGGAAGAGGAATAGCTGGGTCTAATGGAACTTCTAGCTTTAGTTTTTTGTTTTTTTTTTTTTCTATGGTACTGGGAACCGAACTCACAACCTTGCGCTTGCCAGGCAGGCACTTTGCCACTGAGCTAAATCCCCAGCCCTAGATGTAGTTTTTGATGAATCTCTACACTGGCCTCCACGGTTGCACTGGTTTCGATTCCCACCAACAATGTAGAAGCTTCCTTTTCCCCCACAGCCTTGCCAGCTTATTATTTGATTTCCTGATGATAACCACTCTTTCTGGGGTAGGATGAAATCTCAGTTTTGTTTTAATTTGCATTTCTCTAATGGCCAGAGATTTTGAACTGTTTCTCATGTATTTATGGGTCATTTGCCCTTCTTCTGAGAAGTGTCTTTTCATTTCACTTGCCCATTTTTTGATTAGGTCTTTTGTTTTGGAGGTCTATTATTTTTGAATTCTTTATATATTCTAGATATTAGTCCCCTGTCTGGG